TCCTCTCTAGAAAGTGGCTTTAGAGGTGGCATGTCGTCTTCTCCCTCAATGATCTCCACTTCCGGATTTTTCCTCCCCCTAAACGGGTTCAGATTCCCTCCTACGTCATGGCCTCCGGTAGTCTCTCTTGCTTCCGATGTCGCAGGATTGGTCTTCAACTCCTGCAGTTTCTTCAACTTCTCCTCCATCACCGTGAATTTCACTTCTATCCTTTCATTGTTGGAGGTGATTTGATTTTGAAAATCAAAGAATTTTCCTATCAAATCTAATTTTAATTGACCGATCTTGCCTTCCAAGACTTCTACCTTCTTTCCGGCCATCTCTCTTCCCAAGAATCACAAAGATCTTCTTCCGGTTGTCAAAAATTCCCCTGAAATTTGATAATTACAGCCGCCGATGGTCCCAAATCGATGCTCTGATACCAATTTGATAGGAAATACTTGAGTTTGCAAGTAACCCTAAGGTAATACTTGAGTTCACAAGCAAACCTAATCGAAATTAGTACAAAAACAGAGAGAAATCTGCTGTCGCAGCAGAAAAACAGCACCAATGCAGCAGGTCTTGCATCAAGACATTGGAAAATTGGGAGAAAAATCAAAGATTTCACTAGTAGATGCAATAAAACGATAAAAGATACACTATTCTTCAATTCGAGAGGAAGAAGAACTCTCCATAAGTCTCTAGCAAACTCTAGAGCCCAAGCACCCGATGTGATCTCAAACTTTCATTCAAATTCAAGATGTCTCTAATTCCCTCCCATTCCCCTAATTAACGTCGAAGGAGAATTACAACTTACCTAATCAGCCCTTACATTCAAATATTTCCCCCCAAAAATTGCATTAAGCCCACAGAAGTTCCACTCCCTCCCTATCATTTCTTCCGCCGTGCATAGACCAGGACTGGTCCAGGCTGGACCGGTCCAGGCTAGACCGGTCCAACCGGCCCCTCCTGGGCCGGCATGGGAGTAAGCGTAACATATTAGTCTTAGGAATGTTCTAAAAGGAGTGATGTTAAGTTTTCATGCAATGGAGATTAGTCAAGTAGTAGAAATGGGGGTTTGGCTGAAATTCCCAATCTGGGATTTAGAGTTTGGTGCTTCAAAATTGGAAACTATGAGGCTTTGTATTCTTTTAATAGGTTGAGTGCATCTACTTTAATTTTGGAATGTTCCATAAATTTTTATGGGGTTTAGATCAGCCAAATGGGATTTTGAATAAAAATAGGTAGGTTAGGTCTAGTCTTGGCCGAAAGCTCATATGATCCTTTTGGGTGGATTTATGAGAGAATTATTAGAAAATAGATATGTGAGAGGGGAGGATTGTATAAACTTTCTACAACAAGAGATGGGTAGGATTCATAGAGATCTTGAAAACTTACTTGTCACCAAAGTGACAAGGCTTGAAGGAATCATGAAACCCTTGTAATGGTGAGGCAGGCGACCAAGCCCCTCTTCCTTACAAATAAAATCCTCTCTTTTTTATTCATCACCTTATAGTATTTATGAGCACTTGCAATTCTTTATAAAATATATATATCAAAGAAGAGGAGTTTAGAGGTGGTTTTGGTGAATGTGTTAAGAGAGTGGAAGCACTCCTTGGCCAAAAGATACAATTCCTGGAGCGGACAATCCCAAATTTGCCCCAAATGTGTGTATCATCTTTATTCTTAAAAATAGGAATCAACACACTAATTCTCCACTCATATGATATCTTTATAGTCGTCAAAATAGTATTAAAATCACTACAGGAAAACAGCTCAATTCTGGCCCCAAATTGATTATTCCTCTGTGACTTGCCAGCAGATGATAGAAAAATGCCCATAATATGCACAACACGTCGTCTATAAACAAGAATAGTGTATTTGCAATACATACGAGTTACTATGAGTCATTGTAGGAAACTTCTTATTCACACAGTAGTCTACCTACAAGCGACTGTTGGCAACATGAGGCAGACAAATAGCCTACATTCAAGGAGGCTTCGATAAATGCATTCAAGAAGACTGTGATGGATGCACTAACATGATTTGCGAAATACAACATAAAACTTCCAACATATGTTAAAAGACTATCATTGTCTATTAAAGTGCAAGCCTCAATATTACTCAAGAGCGGGTGCAGTTCATCTTGTAAGCAAGGATGCACAACACGCAATGGGTGCAGCATATCTACAAACAAACCTAAGAAAGTTGTGGAGATGATATCAAGCATATTACTGATGCTAGTTAGCTTGTGAAAGAAGTTCATGCTACCCGCACATATGAAAAGAAGCATCTAATGACTGTGAATTGTCTATGAGCATGAATCAGGGAACTTGCAATATAATGATCTCATAGTAGATGTAACGGGCTGCATACTAGTGACTACAGATAACACAATAATGAACGCAATAACGCAACAACAATTCAACTTCAAGTAAACATATCAATTCTCCACATGCAAAAAAAGGCAATCAATGCCATCTAAGGCCAGAGCATGGGGAGGCATGCAAGTGAATATAAGAGATCATTTATCAATGTGTATGAAGAAATTAGTGTGTTGTCTATCTGCAATACATGCAAACACAACAAACTCCTGCGGATGATGACAGTGGATAAGTTGTGAAGGCAATGATTTGCCTTCAATCAATGTCAATGGGCATGCAATGATTGCAAAAATGTCACCACAATCAATGCCCAAATTATGAACAAACCATACTCGAGTAGTATGCAGTGAAGGTTATAATATCCTTACGGTCGATGTCGGTGCACTTGTAAACAAATGCAACCATTCCCTGTGAGCTACGAGGACCAATGGAACCACTTTTGAATAACAACAGTAGATATGCGGTAGGTACGATAAATCCCCTGTGGGCACAAATATATATATTTTTCGTAAGAGAGGATAGAAGGCTACTGCGAATGGAAATGTCTACTGGCGATGGCAAAAGAGTTGTTTCATACAAAATGGCATACATACGGAGGATAGCCAACAATGGCAGGGAATGTAAGGAAATCCCTACAACCAACACTGAGCAACAGGCAAACAAATATACTAGTCTTTTATTGGCATAAGATTAATATACAATGAACATATCAGCTCATCCGGAAAATAGTGGAACTTCCTACGGACATACACAAAGCAGCATATAATGAAAAACAAACACCTACTTACTATTTTAGGAGATCTGCCACAAGCACTACATATCACCGACGGGAAAATACAGAAGGGCTGTGATAAATACAAGCTTCTATGAGCAGCCGTAGAAGACCTATCATATGTTCAAAAATGCTCCCCGCACATGCACCACAACATGTATACACAAACATAGAGGCGCATATGCACATGTATTAACTTGTATACATATAAAGGTGTAAACCCGCATGGGCCCTGACGAACATGTTTTATTTATGCACGTGACGCTTGAGTATGCTGCGCAGGTTATCTAGTAAACCCAAGTTCGAGGCCAATCCTTCTATACAAATAGATAGGAGGTGACAAGGTTCGAACTATTAAACAAATACACGGTCACGATGTTGAACGAGATATTTGTTTTAACACGTTCATATTAAACCTTCAAGGCCTACGAACAAAAAAAATCACCAATAAAAATATAAAGCCTACGAAACTCAATCCTTTGTCAGCAAATTGATAAAGTCGACAATGTTCAATTCTAAAAAGCAAATATTTATTAACACCCCGATGATAGTCGTGTTGAATGTATATCTCAACCGGAGGGGTTAATTCTAAATATTTATATACTTCCTAAATGCCCGAAAATTTAAAAATTTGAAGCTCCACAAATTCTAAAATTCAAATTTTTAAAATTGAAATAAGTTATTCAGTGCTTAAAGCAAAACGTATACATCCTCCGCAATAGTTTACCGAGGTAGGCAAAGTTAAAAAATACATTTCAGCTCATAAAGAGCTAGTTTCTGGCCAAGAATATCACTAAGCTTCATTTTTAAACAACCTCCTATCAATAAGGATGTGACATGTGTCATCTAACCGACGATTTTGCTGCGAAATGGCATCGCATGTGAACGGTTATGATCGAGGCCCTCTGCACCGCGTGGTTTGCCGCCAAATGGCACAACTAAATTACGATCATGGCCAGAGCCTGTAAACTCCCAGTGGTATTAAATCCTTGAGATATGAATCAATAGGATATAATCGATAAAGCACAAAACCCTCTGCTAGCTAAGGTGGATTTTGATTTGTCCCTTTAGACAAATATTCACCCCAGGTATATAAGGTATCCTTGGACGACGCAACCCATGGCTGCTGACAATGAACCTTCTATCAGGTTGGTCGACTACTTCCTATGACTACGTAGACCAGTGACCCGGGACAAATCGAAATCATGGGATCTTGATCGGGTCCATCATCCATTCCCCCACCATCCACTTTAAGTGCAAGATAGTGAAATTTCTATTTTAAATATCAAATTCTCAAATACCAACCCATGTGCCAGATACACGTATTTCTACGTATGTGATTGACTATTAGCCATAATCAAAAGTTCTCTCTTGTTATCGGGAGAGGTAATTAACTATGGGCCCCTATAGGAAACCAAAACTCAGATCATAATGCCCTAGCAAAATGAGGGAGAAATCTCATGGTAGTGTCTTATTTACAATCCCAATCTATCTTCCTAAAATATACCCGGAACATAATTTGTTAAAACTCCCTCGAGAGCAGGGGAGGCCGGGGTGCGAATTTTCGGAGCCCACAATCCGGTACACAGCGGTACATAGCCGCCCATTATAATTTCTCCTCCATTAGAGTCCTATATCTATATTTTTGTTGATTTTCCTATATTTTGGCATTAAATAAACTATTTAAGAGTATATATATAATGCTTTGATTTTGAAGGGATCTGTTTTATAAATCTAATTCTATTAATTTCCAATATGGAAACTTCCCTTAAAAATGAAAAACCTGCATGCTAACTTTTTTTTAAGAATAGAAGGGCTTTGAAACTTCTTGTAGCCTGTTCACTTCCTCAATTACATTCAGAAAAGGCAAAAACAAAGCTCTTAATAACATAACAAGCAAACATCAGAGCTTCACATGATGTCAAACCCTTAAAATTCAGGCATAATGGCAAATCACAGATTCAATGTCATTCAAAGTTCACGGTAAAGAAAAAGAAGTAGATACAAACTCCATAAACATAGGTTTCAGCTGAATTACAAGCTTCTTTGTTCATTTGATTCGCCTGCAAATGGTGATGCCATCGCCGATACAAACTTGTGACATTTCGATCCTATGATCCGAGGCTAATTCATTGTTGAGACGCATTATGCTATCTCGAGCTTCCTCAAACGGACCCGGAAATTGAGGTTTCACTGGCCCGACGACGCTGCCTCCCCAAAGTGTGTTATCATACACAATCAGTCCACCTATCCTGACAAGCTTTATCACCCTCTCATGATAATTGCTGTAGTTCACTTTATCAGCATCCACAAATGCAAAATCAAACAATTCTTCTTCCTTCAACTGCAATCATTCCACAAATGGCAATTTTAGCTCATCAATATAGAATCCTCTATGAAACATATTCATTACAGAAATCTTATTGACCTCCTTAATCAATTTATCAAGAACAGGAAGAGCCTGAGATTCAATGAACTGGATCTTGTGCTCAACGCCAGCTTTCTGAATGTATTGTCGCCCAATTTCGTAGTTGGATTTGTCAATGTCGATTGCCATTATCTGTAACAACAAGACAACATTCTAATATGTTATGAAGGAACATTAATAAAATTCTCATATATCAGAAGCCCCGTATCTTTACTTTGCCATCTTCTGGTAATGCAAGAGCTGTAGTGAGGAGTGAGTAGCCTGTGAAGACTCCAATTTCAATAGTTTTCTTTGCATTCATCAACTTGAGAAGCATAGAGAGGAATTGGCCTTCTTCTGGAGGCACGATCATATAAAACCTGCCATATATAATACATAACTTCTCAGCAAAACTAGTGATATATTGCTAAAAATTAAACTTTTTAGCCATTGAAAAATGTACAAATAGTTTAATAAGAGATTATTTCTCACCTGCTGTGCTTCATTGTTTCTTCTCTTAAAGCCTTGAGCTGTTCATGCTCTCTTGGGTATACACTGGTATCCAACATGTACTGCATAAAATAGTAAAGGCAAGATAACATACGAAGATCAAATTAAAGCTTAGTTTGGTACTATTTTTTTGTTGCTTTTTAAAACAGGTTTTTAGTACAAAATTTTTTTGAATTAGAAAACTTTATATTAAAAAGTTGTTTTAGAAAGCAATAAATAAGTTGTCTTTAATGAAGCCTAAATCGTATCCGGAAGCCGAATTCAGGGATAAATTTCCGATAAGATCAACCTTATAAGATCAAAGATAGAAGTAAAAGGAAATTTGAGTAATTTCTTTTCAAGGATTGAGCCATCTGACATCTGGAACTGAGAACCGATCCAGTTATCAAAACAAACAGGATCAAACTATAGATAAAACCCAGTAATGAAAGCTTTAGATAGCAGAATAAATTTGCAAGAGGGTTGAGATAAGTGACCTGTAGGAGAGCTTGACTCTGCAATAGGCACTGCATTGTTGGTGCAAGAGAGCAGAAGCTTGAACAGCAATTGAAATATATATATTTTTTTTTTCTGGAAAAAATTTGAGCTCCGAGAGCAAAATTATTACAGGCAATTATTGGATTTGGCGGCCAGTCTTTATATCTCGGCCATTCTGAAGTCAATGGACGGATGCAATTATTGGAGTTGCATGCGGGAATTAGATGGGATGGTTTAACTTTTATTATATCCAAGCTTTCTTATTTTATTACTAATGGCGACTGCTTTACACTTTCTTTCACAGTACTGGGTATCCAATCAGGACTCTATGTAGGGAACATTTATTAGGTCAGGTGACCTGGCATAGCTCTATATTCGGACGTCAATAATATGTCGTCACGTGTTCTTACTCTTTACCGCGCGGCCCGATGACCCAACCTAGAACGAAACCCTTGATTGCTATGTTCGCGTATTGCTCGGTATTGTTAGGTATTGCTTAGCAATAACGAGAAATACCGCTCTGTCAAGGCCAATACCAAACAACACCGAGCAATACCTAGAAAAACTCGGTATTGCTAGGTATTGGTCTTCACAGAATGGCATTTCTTATTATTGCCGAGCAAAATTGACGAATACCTAACAATACGTGAACATAGCAATCCCGGGTCCGTTCCAGGTCAGGTTATCGGGCCGCGCGGTAAAAAGTAAGAACATGTGGCATTATTTCACTGGAGTCCGAATGTAGAGCTACGTGTAATATCAAAATCTGCTCCAGGATCGTCCAGGACGATCTGGGATCGTCCTGGAACGATCAGTTGAGATTTGCTCCAGAATTTGCCCAGATTTGCTCCAGGTGTTTTTCTGTAGGCATCGTCCAGGCCGATTGAGGCATCGGCCAGGCCGATGTGCACTGTTCAAAATATCGGCCGGAGAATAGTCCTGGGAACCGTCCAGGACGATCAAATTTGGTCTGATCGTCCCGGGACGATCTGGCGATCGGCCGGGCCGATCTGTGTTGTATAAAGCTGAAATCAGACGTTTTGAAGAGAGAGAAAATTTTATAAAAACGAAAATATCTTTTTGAGGAGAGAGAAAGTCGAGGTCATTTTTGGAAAAGTTGATTTTCGGGCGACGCGGAGCTGTTTTCGTCCGAAGAGACTATTCAGGAAATTGCTGTACGCAAGGTAAGGCACATTCCGCCTTTCTCAATTTTCAGAACCGTCGTGTTTGGCGGTATTTTCTGTCCGGATTTTGTTTCCGTTAGCGATTTTCGTCCGTATCTTTTGATTGGTTCAGTTTTTACCGCGTAACTTTCTGTATATTGTTGACGTGCCGAGTGTGCACATTTTGGTTATTTTCTGAAGATTTTTGTCCGGGTATTTTTGATTCGACGGTGTTTTTAGTCGACTGGATTTTTCTGTGTAATTGAAAATCGTCTGTGCAGTAGAATAAATGTTCTGAAATGTTATTATCTACATTCTGTACGAATTTGGTAAATTGTGATTTTCAGGAAAAATTGTGTAAATTCCGTATACTGTCGTTGTGCTGCCCGATTTTTGTCTGATTTCTGATTTTGTCTGGATTTCTCTGAATCGATATGTTATCTGTATATGCTATACAAAGGGAGTTATAAGGGGCCTGGATCCTATGAGATTCAGTTAGTGTCTGGGAAATCTGAAATGAGCTCAATCTGAATTCTGTTATGTTCCGGATCCGAGGAAATCTGTTTAGGTGCTATAAGCACTATATATGTATTATCGTACGGTAAGTACATTTATTCTGGTGCTATAAGCACATCTGTTCTGGTGCCGTGAGCACAAAGGGAGACATAAAGGGGCCTGGATCCTATGAGATTCAGTCAGTGTCTGGGAAATCTGAAATGAGCTCAATTGAAAGATTAAAATTGCAGTCAAAAGGTTTGCAATCTCCTTCCTCTACTATCAAGAATTTACATGAACTTGATTATGTCCTAAACATAAATGAGGTTTCTCATCATGTTAACGCTAACGCCATAATTCATGAACAGGAGTTAGGTGAACAAAACTTGGAAGAAGGAGAGCTAGGAAAAGCTTCTAATGTGGATTGTTCTTTCAATCAGGTTATCAACTTGTAAAAGGTTGATGTGGAAGAGGGTGAACTTCATCATATGGAGGAGGGAGAGCTATTACATGATAATGTGGAGGAAAGAGAACAAGAGTTGCTGAATAGCGACAATGTCAATGGTAATGGTAGTAAGATTGCCTCAACTTCTAATGATTAATTCTACTAAGGAATATGTTGAGCATAATCTTGTGAAAAATAAGAAAAACAAGAAGCAAAAAGATGTTAATTTGCACTCACCTAGATCTACATGATTTCAAACTTTAAACAAATAACCTTTTTTATGATTAAATCCATCATTTGGAATGTTAGGGGCATTGATTTCCCTTCTTCTAGAACTAGGGTTAAGAATTTAATGATGTATTCATAATGTGGTGCTTTTAATTTTATTGGAGCCTCTTATTTCTGCTGCTATGTTGGATGCCAACTCTCATTTTTTAGGTTTTAACTATAGTTTAGGGAACATTTCTAACAAAATTTGGGTTTTTTTTTGGAAATATCCTATTTTTATTGATATTATTACTGATTTTTCTCAAATACTGCATTGCAACATTCAATTTATGCAATTTAATTGTCTATGCTTCTTCTTCTCGTGGTATTAGAAAAGATTTGTGGAATCAACTTACTACCTTTCATGATATTATTAACATTGATGCAACCTAGGATTCCTAAGGCTAGTAGGAGAACACTAGGTATACAAATAATCGCTTCCTTTCAAAATAACTTAAACAAACACAACAATAAAACATGACAAAACACCACTTATAATAAAACGGATAATACACTTACAACTTCAAATAGAAAAGGATAAAACAGAACACAACAACACTTCTAACATACAAGACAACACTTCCTTAGGACATAAATAAAATACTATGCAATGACACCTTGCAACTTTTCATAGATTGAGAAGAAAGATACAATTGAAGGGTTACCATGGCGAGAAGAAAGAGAAAGAAGAACGAGACGAAGTATAAGAGGAGAAAGGGATAGAAGACTAGCTCACAAGCTAAGAAAACCCTCAGGTTTTTGCTCCAAAAATCATCATATTTTTTCACTCTTTAAACATTAGCAAAACAACCCCTTAAATAGAGAAAAGGAGCCCAAAAGACACCTAAGGCAGCCGCCCAAAACAACTAAGCAGAATAGGAAAAGGCAGCATTTAAGTCTCGGTTGAAGCCCACCCGAACAGCCAGGGAATCGGGAAAGCCAAGGGATAACAACAGGACCTGAACAACCAAAGCCCAGGGAACCGAGAAAGCCAGGGAACAACAACAGGACCCGAACAACCAAGGCCAAGGGAACCGGGATAGCCAGGGAACATAAACCGAACTGCCAACAGCCATCCACCCCCCATCAAACCCAAATCAGCCCAAACACATAGGGGGTGGGCTTGCTTACATCAAACATGCTTTGGTTTGTGGGGGGTGACTTTAATACTATCAGTAACCTTGCTAAAAGAGTTGGTGGTTCTAATCCCGTTTATCAATCTATGAAGGATTTTAATAATATGATTTTGGATTGTAATCTTGCTAATATTGATTTTTCTTGTAATGCTTTAACTTGGAATCGTGGTAATATGTGGCAACGTTTAGATCGCATGCTTTTTAATGATCTATGGATTAATTCTAACAATAACACCTTTGTGGAGCATCTTAGTAAAACTTTCTCGGACCATTCTCCTCTTCTTATTGGTATTTCGTTAACGTAGAATGGTAATTCTTTCACTTTTAGATTTCAAAATATGTGGCTTTTAGTGGACTGTTTTTTAACATTAATGGAATTTCCAAAAAAAAAAATTGAGACTTATTTTTTTCTTTCACTTTTTGACCTATCTAACCGCAGAAATCAGTCATGGTCTTCTTCATTAAATTAGCTACTTTTAGAGATGCAATTGAGAACAAAAGAACATCATATGCATATAATAAATATGTAATTTTTTAGCTTGTGGATCAATTTTTATACCCATTTCCATACCTTTTTGATGGATAGCATTGGATAGTAATTGAGAGCACATGATGAAAAGGTATGGTGATAAAGGACAACCTATCTTAATCCACTCTTTGCTTTAATCTAATTAGAGTTCTTCCCATTATTAAGAATAAAATATCTAACATTTTCAATACATTCCATAATAAGATTTGAAAACTTAGACAGAAATCGAAACTAACTTAAGGTTTTCAATAAAGTGGGCCAAGTCATACTATCATAAGCTTGCTCCATATCGATTTTGACAGCCATTAAACATTTCTTTGCTTTATAAAATCTAAACTTGTTAAAAATTTCTTTAGCCAAAAGACAACATCTGACATTGATCTTCCAGGTATAAAAGCTACTTGTTCTTTAGTAATAATCTTAGAAAGACACCATTTTAATCTATTCAAAATCATTCTGGCAGCGATCTTGTAAATCATTTGACAAAGACTTATTGGTTTGAAATGGGAAGGCTCAATTGGATTTTTAATTTTGGGAATTTATACAATTAATGTATCCTTCGAATCAGCATATATTTTATCAGTTTTAAAAAACAATCAATAGCTTTCCAAGTATCTTCTTTTACAATTTTCCAATAGAATTTAAGGAAAGAAGCTATTATACCATCAAGTTCAGGCGACCTGTTATTACCCAATTGATTCACGGCTTGAGAAAATTCTTCTATAGTAAATTCTGCATTCAACATCCCAAAGTTAGCCTCATCAATTAGCTGTTCGTTATACACATGAGGCCAATCTGAAAGATTACAAATTATGTTTTGCCGTTTGTGTTTGAATAATTTCAGAAAAACTGATTCAATTTCATCTTGATCTTCTATATAAGATTTATTTTCATCTGTTTCTTGCTTTATCCAATTACCATTCCTCTTAGTTGAAGCATAATTATAATTTTTTTTTGAATTTGAACCTCCTTTCTCCATCCATCTTGTTTTAGCTCTTTGACTCCACCATGTAAATAAACGAGCTAACTTCACATTCAATTCATGGACTTGAATCAATCTGAAGAAGCATAAGATTTTCAGGATTAAGTCCACCATTTGATCTTTCTTCAATTGCAATTCAATAATATCCTTTTTAAATCATCATTGATAGTATTCAAATCCTTTAATTTATTTTTGCTCCAATAATAAAGGGCTTTAAATGATATTTTCATCTTCCTTTGAAGTATTTCAGTTTCATTACCAAAATCTAATTTTCTCCAAGACTTAAAGAACTATGTTCCAAGCAGCTGGATAGGATTTACAATTATCTTCAAATCTAATAAATTTATATTGTGGACGAGTAATGTCACTAATCTTGAAAATAATTGGACTATGATTAGAAGCAACTCTTGCAAGATGTCTAATCATGGCAAATGTAGCACTGTAATGCTGCTGAATTAAGTAAACACTCATCTAATCTTTCCCAAATACTTGAAGTTCCTTCCTTATTATTGCATCATAAATCTTGGTCCAATGAAATCTACATCATGCAAATCATTGTTAGTCATAAAAGATTTCATCTCCTAAGGGCTGTGAGAAAAAATGAAACTCTTATCACCTCTCTTATCCTCTTTGAAAAGAATACAATTAAAATCCCCTCCCACAATAAAAGGAATGATATTAGAAGAAAGCTTTTCAAGACTATCCCATAACCTTCTCCAAACATGCAAATCTTTGATCCCATAAATAGTAGCAACATTCCATCTACCCTTATCAGGAATTTGGATAACACCAAAAACAAATTGAGAAGAATATTCTACAACATCAAACATAGCCTCCTCCCATTTCCATAAAACAAGAATGCTACTTGAAGTACCTTCAGTAGGATGATAGAAAAAAATCTCAATCATCACCAATAATTCTATTAACCTCCTTCCTATCAATAATGGATATATTGGTTTCAATTAATTAAATAAAAATACAATATTATCTCTAACAATTTCTTTATGATAAAGAGAAGCCTTCTTTTTTTGGTTCCTCTACAATTTAAAAAAGCGAAGGAAGACATTAGGATATCAAAGGAGATATTTCCCCACCTCCACGGCTCACACCCACATCACCTTTTCTTTTTCTAGGGATATCATCTATAGCCCCAAGGATTTTATCTCTTTAGTTCTTTTTTGTTTCAAACTCAAAGAACTACCAGCATCATTAGTTTTCAGCAAATAAGAATACTTTTTTTACTTATGTTTTGTTCAGAATTTTGGATGGCAGACATATTTAAACTTTTGTTCCTAAAATTATCCATCTTTGGTTCAGAGTTTTCGTTGGATGACATCTTCTGTGGAACCAACACTAGAGAAATCTTCAAATCAGATTTTGGATCAACAACAGCTCTAGAAACAGCAGGAGCTTTAGCTTCAGATATCAGATCAGCAGCTTCAGATATAAGATCAGCAACAACTTCAGATTCAGGTTTCAACTCAGTAGCAGATTCAGATATAGGATTCAGATCAGCAATATTTTCAGTAGCATTTTCCTCGATAAATTGTGATAATAGATTAAATTTATTAGCTTTTAACAAAGCTAATGATGGTTCAGAATTTATAAGCAATTTTTTCGCATCTCCAGCAGCACATATTTCTAAACGGACATTTGTAGATTTAACATGTTGAATAGAATCAATAGCTTTTTTTGTAACATCCATATGCATAAATTGAATTTGGTCTTCATTTAATTTGGGACCATTAAGCACTTCATCAGTAAAATTTGAAGATTTATCTTTAACAGCTGAGTAGTCTTCCTTGGTAATTGAAGAATTCTTGTTAAAGTTCAAACATTTATCCTCGATTGTTACATCATTATTATTAATCTTAGCATCAAGATGATCAGTGTTCGCATGGACTTTACTAACAATTTTTTTTTAGAATTATCCTTCACCAAATATTTCCCGTTTAATTTTTTTGAAATTCATATGAATCCAAGGACAAAATCATTATTTTGTTTAGAAACAGCATTATCAGTAATCTTCGTAGGAATTCCTTTTTCCGAATCAATAATGATTTTACTTCCCAAATTATTTTGAACTACATTATGAACTTTAGGGCATATATTAACTTTGTGTCTGATCTTCTCACATTTAAAACAAAAAAGATGAGATTTTTTCATACTCAATCTTCTGAAAAAATCTTCCATTTAAAACTTCAATCCAAATTCCTTTAGATAGCTTAGAATCCAAGTTTATTCGCACACAAGCTCTTGTAAATTTCTTTCTTTCCCATTTAAATATGTTACCATAAAGTAACAAAGGAACTCCTACTTTTTAAGTAATTTGTTTAACATTTAATTCATCCCAACATTGTAAGCGAATGCAAACATGTGATGATAATCGTTTCATAGATAACAGAGAGAATTGTGGTGTCCATTAATAAATACCTATTATACAACCTCAAACATATCAAGGGCCATCACTTAGTACTTCTTCCATAGCTTAAGTGGAATGGAAGGAACACAAAATCCAATCTAAACCTAGCGAGATTAGATGGAATCCACCAAATTTGCCCCACTGTCGTCTCAATTCAATGCTACACACAGAAAAAAGGAATTTTTTGCCCAAGAAATTTTACTACAAGAGAATTTCTCAATACTTGAACATTTGCAATTTCTCTCTGAGTCTTTAATTTAACAACATTTCCATCTTATGTCATATCAGTATCTATCTCAAGATGATTAACTTTACTATGATGATTTTTTTTCTCAAGCATTCACTCCATGATTAGGCACATTACCAAATTCTTCTTTAGAATTTAAACCAATCTTAGGAGACATTGTGAGAAATAGAAATAGATTAACTTTCACATTGCTTTTCATCAGTAATAGCATGATTAATAAATCTACTAATTTTCAATTTATAACCTGATGAAGATGAGGCTTCCAAATCATTAGCTCCTGCTACGAATCCAGTTAAGCCCTTCTTCAAAGCAGATAATTGGCGATCTTAAAAAAATTGGCTATCAATCACATGCTTCAAATCTTGAGGAAATAAACTTTTCTTGCCTTCACCTTCATCAGGAACATTTTGATGAACCTCTGGAAGAACACCATCTTTAATAACTAATGACCTCTGCTTGTAAAAATTCTGACTTTCATTTCCATTCTCAGGTGGGATTCTTCCTATGGATCCATAACAATGATTTATATGGATCGAAAGATAGTTATGGTGAGGTGGTCCGATCATGGTGTCCGGATGAATCCGGACTCCGGACGTAATAATGTGCCCCGATGGCGAATTATTACATCCGGTCACCGGACGTCCAGACACCCAATCCAGACGCGTCACGTCACCCGAATACACTGGGGCCCGGTGTATTTTGGTCACGTGGCACGTTTGGATTGGTGTCTGGACGAATCCAAACACCGGACGTAATAATTTGCCGACTAAATGTGGGCAGACTAGCAATGGGGGTAGTGATATAAAACAAAGACCGGCGAGATAGGCAGTTGACGAAATCTCGGCTTATAGGGGGTGGAGCAGTGCATTGCCATCATTACTTTTATTCAAGTTGTGTATTTAGGACACCCTCAATTACTATTAATAAATCAGATTTTTGCAGCACTTTTTATGACTTGCTGCTGCGGTTTAAATACTTAAAAATTTATTTGCAGCAATTTAGGAACCATTGCATATCCGTTGTATTTGTGTTCACTAGAAAGACTTTAGCTATGGCATGCGGAGCGGTCCATAGCTAGGGCACGATGGCGACAGTTTGCAAACTGCTTCTATAAACCATTAGAAAAATCTAATTTTTTTAGAGGTGGTGATAACCACTTTCTATATCAACTGTAGCAACGGTTTAAAAATCGGTGCTAAAAACTGCTGCGGAAACACTATATTTTTTATAGTGAATGCACAAAAATTCCAAATACACATGAAATGAATTAAAAGTGAATTTTCAAATTCACTCTAAAATCTTTTTCATTTAAAATGCAGATATTCGAGCATCTGAATTATTAAAACCATTGAGTTTGTTTTACACTCAAAATATTATCAACTTAACAATACCATGAATAAATGGGAACCCTTATATATAATTAATGTTAAAGTATGAAGTTTAGTTTTTATCATGGAAAGAATATCTATTATTCATTAAATATTTTACACACAATCAGATTTAAGTTGACCAGCTGAGATAAGGTTATCATAAATTATAGTTGGAAAAAAGATAAAATTTTCAAAAGGAATTTTATCTATATGCATTATTTCATTAAAAAAATGTTGAATTTTGTTTTTTTAGCTATTCTAATAGTTGTTTAAAAAATGTGATGTATATTTGGGGCTATTTGATCGGCTAAAAAAAGAATATAGTATTAAAAGAATATTTTTAAATTATTTGAAATAATTTAAAATAAATGTAGCTAGATAAATATTTTCGTTTGATTTGAAGTAAAATGAACATGTTGTAAAATCCAAAGATATTGGCAACGACGGATAGTGGCCGACACGCAATGATGGCCGGCAACAGGTGGAGGAGGCCTGCAGTGGGTGGCGGTGGGTGGTGGGGGCCCCTAGTGGTAGTGGTGACCCGCGGCGGATGGAGATGATGGTGGTGGCCGGCAGCGGCGTGGCAGCTTGCACGAGGCAGGTGGTGGCCGGCAACAAGTGGTGGCGATCAAACGAGCTTATTGCGGTGTAAACGATTATCACTCAAAATTGGGAGAGTTTTTGTTGCCTCAAAATTAGAAAAAAAAAAATTTACACTATATTTATTTTAATTTGTTTTTTTATCATCCAATAAAACATCAATATTTTCAGAATCCTTACATTTGAAATTTTTTATACTCATTTAATTTACTTCCAACCAAACTGCCACAAATTATCAGAAAAATTAAAATTGTAATTCTCAATACTAAAATAAAAATTAAAATTAAAAAACTCATTAATGACAGCAGTGACCACAATAGAATATAGTAGTAATCAGTTGTTTGTACTTTAATATAATTCGTGTTTTTTTATGTTATAATTATTTTATTTTATGTTCTATTTCTAATTATCATCGAATATAATGACAGGTTTGGAACTTTAAAATTACTATATCATAATAACAGTATTATTATTGTTGCGTCTAGGAGTATTCGCCGCGGTAAAGAAATATAAAATTTATCGTCTTAGTGTTGTATGAAAATCCGGCACGCAATCAGATAAGGAGAGAGGGTCTAGCATTTATGAGACCAAGATTTTTACATGGAAAACCCCTGAAAAATGGGGAAAAACCACGGGACCTAGCCCAGTTTGAACGAATCCACTAGTATTTGCAGTTGATTACAAATGAGGCCCTTCCTTGGGAGAAGGCCTTAGCTTGATGTACATCTTATAGAGTACATTACATGATGTAAATACAAAGAGTTACTATTGACGTATTCGTTTTGTTGAAATGACTGTAGTTGGCGGGCGACGGAAGTCAGGAAAATCGTAGTCAGCTGGCGACGGAGGTCTGAAGGACTGTAGTCGGCTGACGACGTAAGTCAGGAGGACCGTAGTCGGCTAGCGACGGAGATCGGAAGGACTGTAGTCTGACGACGAAGATCAGAAGGACATCGTCAGGTGGAAGTCCAACAATGGAAAGAAATGCATCTTCGCATAGACGTCCAGCAAAGTCCGATAACCGGTAGAAGTCCGGCGTCGGGTAGAAACTTGGCGAAGAGTGAAGGTCCGACGTCGGGTAGAAGTCCGACGTCTTTGGTGGCAGAGGAGAACTCCGGCTTCACTTGGGCGGAGTTTCAGCGTCAGAAGGGAACTCTGTTGCAAATTGGGAAGAATTTCAGTATCACGTGGAAGTTGGGAAGAATTCCTGCGTTCTCTCGAATATCACGCAGAATCCCGGCGTGTTCGGGCGGTAGGAAGAGCTCCGGCGGTGGTCGAGGAGGTGAGGAATCTCCTTGACCCCTTTCTCCTCTTCTTCTTCTCTCTCTTCACTTGAGCCCCCTTGGTGTAGAATGAGGGCTCTATTTATAGTTTTTCTGGAGTGACATAGCCCGTAAATAGGCGCGAGATCAAGGGCAAACAGCTTCGGGTCATTGATTCAGACCCATTTGGGCTCGGATTGGGTCGAATTTGGTGTCGCTGGGTTCGTATTTTTGAGACGCTCAGTTTGACTGTAATTTTGCTGAAATTGGAGTTCATATGCTCTCGAATTTAATTTTTTGAAGTTTCCGAACTGATTTTGCCTCGAGATTCGTGCCCAATCAAGATAATTTTGTGATGACGTATCAATTATTATTATTATTATTATCATTATAAAAGCAAGCATTTTGAGTCTGGAAAGTAATTAGGAGACCACTTAAAAGCCGAATGGAATGCGAGGATTCAAAATATTTAGAAGGGAAATTGATTAAAGGGTTTACTAATCATTATAGAAAATGAAATGTCGCTTTAGTTCTTTCTTTCTGCCTAAGCGTTAATTGGTCTTTACAACAGGATTTTTCTTTTATGGAGATTTATGTAGTTATCACAGCCTTGTCATGTCGCAGGCCTTCATTTTAATTTTGAAGTCATAATATAATATACCTAAGGAGCTGTCTAATTTTGAGTATTTTGAGTATATCACTATATTGTGAAAAGAATATAGAGATTTTGATTTTTTTTTTTTGTGAATGAAAAATAAGTTCAAAGTAAATTATTAATATATTTTTTTTTTTATTTAAGGTTCATTTGAAATAATTTTTTATCAATATTTTTTTTATTGCTTTCAAAAAATTTTGTATTAAAAATTTATTTCCCAATCATTACATTACCTTCCACGTCAATCTTCATCAAACTGCACTCTAATGACTATCAAAAAAATGCCGACTGATGACATCTGATGGTTTTTGGTCACCTACTACTATCATTGCTTGTCGCCTCCATTAATCGCCCCATGAATCACAAGAATAATTATACTAAAAAAATAAAAAAAAGATTTATTTATTTATAATCCAAAAATTAATCCCTAAATTTATTCTACAACCAGTCCAATCAAAAGTATTTCAAATGTAGAAAATTGAATTTTTTTGTGTATTTAGAATGTACACTTGCAATAACAAATCTTGTATTTGCTCCTTTTTAAATTATTCCATAAGCTAGCTCCTTAAATTTATTTTAGTTTAAAATACACTCCTTTTTTTAAAAATTGACCTATTTAAATTAAAATTATTATTTAAAGTAATGAGAATAAATTATAAAATATTTGAATAAAATTAATGGCTTATTTCAGTAAATCAAATATTAAAGACTTAGCCTTAGGCTACATACATACTTTATTATTATTATTATTATTATTTAATGATCATAAAATTAAAAAAAAATTATGACACATTCTTTAGATCCTTAAAAAAGGAAATATTATCAATTTCTCCAACAACAAACAATAACATGAAGTTTTTATTCCACTACGTGGGATGGACTAAATGAATCTTTTTTCTCTATTGTGTTCTATTAAGAGTCAAATTCTTATTTAAATCTAACAAAAAAAAAAGATCATTTCTAAAATTTTGAAATCAATTTTTTTTAGGTCTATCTCAACTTTTCTTAATGTAGGTCTGATCTAATACATATACTGTCATAATTGTGTCATCAGAAGATAGATATTTATGTGACAAAACTATCTAAGATAAATCTCTTTAATTTTATCTACTACCGGAGCTACTCTAACATTTTCACTTATAAATCATTTCATATAATGTTTTTAAGTGTAAAGTCACTCATCCACTTAAGCATTCTCATCGCTACACCACTTAATTTTATATATTTTTTTAATGGCCAACATGTTACACTATAAAAACACGGCAAGTCTCATCGTCATCTTATGATCTTCTCTTAAGTTTGAGTGATACTTTTCTATTGCACAACTTCTCGGTGCATTCCTCCACTTCAAACATACAACTTTAATTCTATTAATCATATCCTCATTTATTTCATTATTGCTTTAAAGGATAGATCTGAGATATCTAAACATGCACTTTTTTTAATGACTTGATCACCAATATTCTAATCCCCCATAAATTATTACTAATAAATTATATTCAATATTGACATGTCATCAAAAAATTATCTTGATCGGACACGAATCTCGAGAAAAAAATAAAGTTGGAAATTTTAAAAATTAAATCTGGGACATCTGAACTCCAATTTCAACAAACTTATAGTCGAACTGAACATCTCAGAAATACGAACCTAACGACGCCAAATTCAACTCGATCCGAGCCCAAATGTGTCCAAATCGAAGACCCGAAGCACGGTCGAAAGGTTCAATCCATAATTTTGATTACCAAACAGTTTCCAAATATTACATGCTTATAATCGAATCGAGAGGAACGACGAGAAAAATCCAATGAGCCCAAGATCGTCGAGTTCTGATATCATGAAGGCCTTCAAATGCTTAATAAATGGTCCACTATCAAGAGATTCAAACACTGGTCGTCCATTCAAACCACTCCCGATTCGCCCCTGATCTCCCTCCTATTTACGGGTCATGCCATCCTCAGAAAACTATAAATAGCCCTCATTCCTCTTAAGAGGGGACCCAAGCTAGAAGCAAGAAAGAAGAAGAAGAGAAGAAGAGAAAAAAGGAAGAAGCTCCTCCTCGACCACCGCCAGACTTTCAAGTGACGCTGAAATTCTACCGGACTTTCAAGTTTCTGCCCAACTTTCAAGTGCCACCCTGCTCGACTTTCAAGTCACGCTGGAATTCCACCCGACTTTCAAGTCACACTGAAATTCCGTCTGACTTTTAAGTGACGACGGAATTCCCCCGGACTTTCAAGTTACGTCGGAGTTCCACTCGACATTCAAGTGTCGTCAGAGTTCTGCCCCACTTTCAAGTGGCGCAGGAGTTTTGCCCGACTTTCAAGTGCCGTCGGAGTTCCGCCCAAGTTTCAAGTGACGCTGGAGTTCCATCTGACTTTCAAGTGCCGCCGGAGTTCTGCTCGACTTTCAAGTGATGCCAGAGTTCTGTCTGATCTCCAAGTGACTCTAGAGTTTTGCCTGAATACCATCTAATGCCGGAGTTCTCCGCGGCCGTCGACTGACGTTGGACTTCTACCAGACGCCGGACCTCAACTTGTCACCAGATTATGCCCATTACCAGATTTTTCGTCGGACATATATTCGATGCTGGATTTTTATTTATTGTTGGACTTCTAACAGACACCGTCATTCAGACCTTCGTCGTTAGACAACGATCTTTATGACCTCCTTCGCCTTGACCTCCTTTGCCTGCCGACTACGATCCTTCCGACTTACGTCGCTCACCGACTGCAATCCTTTTGACCTCCGTCACAAGATAATGGTTTTTATGTCCTCTGTCGCCCATTAACTATGATTTTTCTGACTTACGTCGCCCGCCGATTACAATCATTCTGATCTCCGTCACCAGACTATGATCCTTCTGACCAAACAAACACGTCAACATTAACTATTTGTATTCCCACCATGTAATGTACTTCATATGATGTACATAGAGCCAATGCCTTCCCCCCAAGGAAGGGCTTCATTTGTAATCAAATGCAAATACTAGTGGATTCATTCAAATTGGGCTAGGCCCTGTGATTTTTCCCTCTTTTCAAGTGTTTCCCATGTAAAAATCTTGGCGTCTCATAAATACTACACATTCTCTCTTATCAGACTTCATGCCTGATTTTCGTACAAAATTAAGGCGTTAAATTTCCTATTTCTCTACCGCCGCGAATACTCTAGGATGCAACAAATATATTTAATTTTATATATACTTAAAATAAAAATTTTAAACTCTAAATTTAGAGTCCATAATATTAACCATTTCTCTATTTCATGTAAAAACTTTTTAATCGTTTAGTCCTCACTAATCAGTGATTCCATCGGCCCAGAGTATATGTACTTTGTGGGTCCATCAGAGACCGCCGCAAACAAAACGACGACTGCTCTGTTTCCCCTCGTTTTCGCTCCTCTTTTACTCTTTCCCTTTCTTTTTCCGTACTCCTCTCCATGTTATTATATATTCAAAGTAGCTCCTAGCGATGTACCGCCGGTGAACTACCACAAATCAGAGAGTAGAAAAATGAGAGCGGAGAGGAACCAGGGAAGCTGCGTGGCTATTCGGTGTCTTCCTCCCGCATTCATCTCCCGATACTCAAACGGATCATCCTCTTCAGGTTTCCTCCTCCTTTTTTAATCGGACGATGCTTCTCTTTTTCACGAAATCTGTGTATATTCTGCTTTCTACGGCTATCTGATATCCTTTTGTTTATTGTCTATCAATTGTTTTTAAGCCTTGAGCGATTTAGGGCACGGCATTGGTTAGATTGGAGGTTTTTGCTCGATTTTCTTGATGCTAGGTTTTGATAGGATTAAGAGAGGGAGGAACGTAATGCTTTTGTGATTTTTCCAAAATGTTCTTCTTCTCTCTTTTGTCCTTGAGTGGCCGGCAAGGTTGCAGGAATTTTAATATTAATTTTTGCCCCTTTTATCCTATCCGTGGTTTTGCCGGGCGATAACCACTTTGCGTATACAGATAGTTTGGACGAATTTACTAAAAAATTCGCTCGAAGCAAAAAAATTAAAAAGGGCAAAAAATGCTGTGTTGAATGAAGTTTTTGATCCAAAGGACTCAAGGTACTCTATTGCCCTTATTTCGTTCAGGACAAAAAAAAGGACGGTTTTATTTGATTTTTAATGCTTTCGGAAGATTTCAACTAGGAATTCGTCCAAAGTAGCATCCTAGAGTTTACCCCTCTGCATGTTTTTTATATTTATTTAAATTGCGAATATACGATTTTGCCATTGGCATGAGTGCAGTTCTGGACGGTAACCGTATCGATTGGCCGGTGGCAGGATTCTTCGCGTGTGTGTGTTTTTTTAATTATCCTTATTATTATAATTATTCTCCATTAGCCAAATGGCGGAAGTAAAGTGAGGCATTGGCCATTGGTTAAAGTTCCTTGCTAAACGGCATTACTATTATTATATTATAATTTTAAGTTAAATTTATCCCTTTCCTTGGTCTCACTTAGGCTTGGTTTGGAACAGTTTTCTTTCAGCTTATTAAAGTAATTTTTTAATAAAATTTTTTAATTTTTATATCAAAAAGTTGCCAGTAAAAAAGCCACGGCAAACAAAGCCTTAATGTGATCTACCGTACTAATTCGTGGTAATTTATGGAGATTAATTAGTATTGGAGTTCTAATTTATGTGGGGCAGGTCTTGCTTCTGCATGAATAACAAATTTGTGGTGCATTGGTAAAGGATATAAATAAGCTGAATTTGAACGAGTTCGAATGTTCTTCAGCTTAGCTCATCAAACAATCGAGTTAATTTCATGCACCAGTTAGTTTTCCTTTCGAGCAGAACTCTAAAGATATATGTGTATATGGAACAATATATTATTTATCTTAGCTCCTTAAACATAATTATAAAAGGTAGTCCAGAATGCAGTCAAATACGAAACGCTTCGTTTCTTTCCCTTTTATCGAATGGGAAGCTTTATTCACGCTCGCATACGACCAAAAAGCTGCTTTCCTGCGTATTCTTCGGCTTTCCCAAACAGGGTAGTCGAGTCGAATTGGGCACAATCAAAACTCTCTATTTTTAATATCTTTTTATTGTATAATTAAGGTTATATTCATCTTATATTTATATTAATTTTAATTATGCAAATTTTCTCCTCCCAAATCAACATTGTGTCGGATTAGTTATGTATTTGAAGCGGAGTGGAGATTTGTGATTTTGTGCCAGTGCCTGATCTAATTTCTTTGTTTCAGTAGACGATGTAACTTGCGGTTCTCCAAGATGGATTGGAAGAGGATTTTCTTGCGTGTGCATCAAACGAAAAGTAGTTTATGAGCGCGTCTGCGTCAATCTAACTCCATCACAGGCAAGGGCTATTATTTCATATTGGCTGGGTACTGATGTTTATTAGTATATTTCAACTTTTACTGTTCTAATGTTAGTTTCTTGGCTATTACATTTTATCAATACTTAAAGCTTGAATAATGTTATCGATTTCAATGGAATTGCTTTCTTCAAACAAATATTTTATGAAGTTATAGCCCGTCCATCAAGTCTTCTAAAGATTGTTTTTCTATTACAGAACATGACTTGTCTTAAATTCTGTGCCCACCATCACATGGAAATATCATATACCGTTTCCTTTGCTGTTAAATTCACTATTTGTATGTTTTATTTTCCGGTGATGCCTCTAAATGTTGATGCATGTTATCACAGCAAATATCATATTAAGGATTATTATTATTTGGAGATTATTTGATTAGCAGGATATGTCTTTGTATCCTTCTTATTCAGATTGTTCTTCTCATTATTTGTTTCCTTCCTATGCCGCCTATGCTTGCTTGATCGCTCGTCGTGTTCACCCACCTACATGACATCGTGTCCTTCTCTGCTCTCCTGTAGCACATGCACCACTCTGTTGCACTTACTCTTACAACCTACGCGGCCACCTGCACACAAGAGCCAACAACAACGTTATTTCCCCTCACTCACTATTTGTTCTTGTTACTCTCTTGTTTGGCACTAGTGTTGTTCTCTCGCTTGGGTTTGGCCTTGCCAAAAAGATCGTTACCTCTCATGTCCCCAGTTCAAGATGGCTTGCATATGCGTTTAGTGTTAAGGCTTGAAGTCCTCCCCAATTTTGAAAATTTTGTAACAAGCTATACGTCATCGACATTTATACTCTAGCTTAATTGGGAATGTTGTCGTATGAAAGATTATATTAGGAAGTATTATTTTTGGAGAATATTTGAGTATAAGAATATGCTTTTATATTCCTCTTATTTAATTTATTCTCCTTATTATTTCTTCCTTTTGCCTTACCCCTATATTCCTTTTTGTTAGGATTGGTCCAGTTTTTTGTTATATGTACAAATTTGGGGGAAAATTGAATAAAGCTGAGTTTAGTTTTCCTTTTCCTCCATCTCTCTCTCTCTCTCTCTCTCTCTCTCTCTCTCTCTCTCTCTCTCTCTTTCTCTCTCTCCTTTCCCTTTCAATAAAGCAAGAAAGCTTCTTCCTCCTCAATAATTCCAATAAGTGGTATCAGAGCTTGGTGGAGGCGATCTTGAGATGAAGGAAGGTTCTTGTCCAAGAAAGGAAGAAGGAGATGCCTTGCCAGGGTGCTCAGTTGCACTGATTGCGGAACGGAGGCGAGGTCGCTTGTCCTGGTAGCGCGGGACAAGCTGCGCTCGAAGCTGGTAGGTCTAGGTTCGTCCGCGTGTGTCCAATAAGTGGTATAAGAGCTTGGTGGAGGCGATCTTGAGATGAAGGAAGGTTCTTGTCCAAGAAAGGAAGAAGGAGATGCCTTGCCAGGGTGCTCAGTTGCACTGATTGCGGAACGGAGGCGAGGTCGCTTGTCCTGGTAGCGCGGGACAAGCTGCGCTCGAAGCTGGTAGGTCTAGGTTCGTCCGCGTGTGGAGACGGATGGGAGGTCGCGTGTGCTCGGCATAAGATTCGGAGGTGCAAGTGCGGAAGGTGCCGTAAGTGGAGCAAGGCACAGAGCGGAAGCACAGGACACGCGCAGGGCTCGTAGGCAGGAGAATGTGCACGGGCAAAAGGTAGCGCGGGGCTCAGGATGACAGAGTGGATGAAGTATAATTTGGGGGAAAATTGAATAAAGTTGGGCTTAGTTTTCCTCCATATGTGAGCTCTCTCATGAATTCCAACACTTTTTATAAGCCTCATATTCTATTAATGTAAATAAGGAGAAAATGACTTACCTCACAACAATGCTCATATGCATTTCATTTTATTTATCATAATTTTTATTAATTAATTCTCTTTTGTTTATATCTCTATGATGCCATCCATGAGATCATATCAAAATAAAACTTATTGGCTTTGCAGGAGGAAAGGCTGAATAGATTGAAGCACCGAATGAACGTGTACTTTGATCCCTCCAGGCATGGTCATCAGGTGACTTAAGCAAGTTACTTAAATTTTTTTTTTTGGGAACATGCTACCCTAATTGATACTAAAATAATAATTGTCTGATTGATAAGAAGCTTTTTTTTTTCTCTTAACTTACCCGGAAGTATAGGTTGTACCAAATAATGTTCAATATATGACAAATGCAATTTTTGTAAGTAATCTCATATTTTCATGCACAATCAGATTTATATGTTGTCTCCTTGCACTTAATAGGAATTGCCAAACATCATACAGTTTGAATATTTATTATAACTTTTTAATAAATATTCTTGTATATAACTTCATATTATCTTAAAGTCATATTCATTTATCAATCTCATTTACCATTAGCTACTTTCTATATTATTTTGCAAATCCTCATTATCGGGAAGTTTAGGCGCCTTCGCACACACAAACCACCATCCTCAAACTTGCGAGCAAGAAGGAAAAGTATTAGTACTCTAACCACTTGCAATAGAGTCGGTCAGCCTTGTTAGTCTGGCAGTTCATTTCTGAAGTGGCTTATTGTTAGACAATTGAATTACATTACTGAAGATTATTCTGGATCAGTTGCTGGACTATGATGCCTGGGCAGTCAAAAAGTTTGAGCAGATTTTTCCTGTACTGCAACTTCCACATCAACAATTATTAGGCACCACTTCAAACTATCCGTTTATGATGCACATGATGAAATAAAAGTTTAAGCTTCTTAATTGCAGTATAATTTTAAGTTTAGTTTCATAAAATTTTGCATGTACATATGAGACATAAAACTACCTTTCTTACAGGAAGCACTAAGAGCTCTTTGGGCTTCTACGTATCCAGATCAAGAGCTTAATGGATTGATCTCTGAGCAGTGGAAGCAAATGGGTTGGCAGGGTAAAGACCCATCAACTGATTTCAGGTTAGATAAAAGTATAGTACTTGTTTGTTTTTAATTTTAAATCTTTTGTAGTGGTATTAATCTCCCTTCTCCTGATATAAGCAATGTCACATGATGAACAGGGGAGGTGGATTTATATCATTGGAGAACCTGCTCTTCTTCGCTAAAACATTTTCCGTAAGATAATAGTATTTATCGTTATTCTTCTTCCGAACTTCCTAGCTCTAGTGACTCTTATTAATCCTGTTATTGGTGGCCACAACCGTGACCCAATAGTTTATAAAATTAATTTTATAAACTATTTTCAAATCCAACCAAAAAGAATATTGTACTAACTGTGCCAATTCTAAGATTTTGGACTATGCATCCAATGCACGTTTGCATGTTTTTTTATTAATTTTATAACCCAACTCAACATTTGTTAGTGAAGAGCACTATTATCAGAAGTATGATTGCTATATTTTGTCAGGGATCATTTCAGAGGCTGCTGAATAAGCAAGGTGGTAAGCGAGCAGCTTGGGAGTACCCTTTTGCGGTAGCTGGTGTCAATATCACTTTCATGATCATGCAAATGCTAGATTTGCATTCTTGTAAGACTTTTGATTTCCTTTTGCCCTCAAAACGCTCATTGTATTTTTGCAATTTCCTGAAACATATTTACTACTGGTTATTGACAACTGAAGTTATTGCATTGATTCTCGACATATGGAAACTAAACATAATTGCATAGAAGGCTTCTAAATAAGTCTATAGCTATAGAGCTCATTGAGAATGGAAAACAGGGGCCTCATTCTCTCTTGAACTTCATTTACGGTATCCAACTATCAGGACTAATGTTTTGTTTGGGACGACTTTCTTACTGTTTTTTAAAGCAGCTTTCTAGTACAAACTTTTTAATTTTTGCACTAAAAAACTGCTTTAAGAAGCACTAAAAAAAGTTGTCCCAAACAAAACCTAAACCTTCTTTTTACTGGAAAACGGCTTCCAGCTAGATGTCTTATTAATGACCAGAATTTTTGCTGAAGCTATAACTCATATTTTAGGTGGGTGTACAGAATGCAGAGCGCTCAACACTGTAACTTATGCTCATCTCTGTTGACATTTGTTCTCTTTTATCAGATATATTTGATGTAGTAATTCGCTTTAAAATATGAATGGATGTTTGGAATTTTCCAATTGTCATCATAAAATCTAATTACATAGAAGGAAAACCTGACAACTGGCATCAGAGATTTAGCAATTTGCACTTTAGTACATCTTATTTATCATTGCGAGTATTTTCCGTTCATATTATTAATTTTTCTGTGCTACAATGCATGGGCTTCTATCAGAGCAGATGGAATCAAATAGTCCAATTTTGTATATATACGTTCAGATTGTGTTTCATATGATCAATCATCTCATACTTCAAGAAAAATGGATACAAAGAAACAATATAGTAGCAGTTATTTGAACAAAAAAAAGAAGGTTTTTATAAGAAATAGAGATTTATCTATCCTTAAATGTTCTAAATCATCTTTATAACCAGGATCTGTTAAATATTCAACTTACAGCTTCATAGCCATGCCTACAGAGAACATGGTATAAATTTTGCTTGTATCATTGTCGTCATATGTGTTAAAATGGTCCATTGGACTGGTCCAGCCGGTCCAACGAAACTGACTTACGCGAATAGAGGCGGATTTTTCCGTCTCCTGTACGAGTTGTTTAAGAAGTTTTTTTTAGGGAGTTGGGAGGGGGGGGGGGGGGGGTTTTGATGGGGGTTTAGGGAGTTAGGTGGGGAATTTGAATGTAGGGACTGTTTAGGGATTTCCTTTTGATTTGTATGCATTAAATAGTTTGTTTTCCTAGGGTTAGGGCATCTTGAATTTGACTGAAATTTGAGATCTCTTAATTTGTTTGGGCTCTAGCAGCATCTAGAGATTTGGAGAGAGATCCTCCTCGAATAGAGAATCAATTGTATCTTGGTATTTTCCATTTCCCTTTCATCAAATAATACAAATTATCTACTGTTTCCTAGTTTTGTGTGAATTTTTGTGGAGAATTCTCGCTGTTTTCCGAAGATTGATAGGCAATACTTGAAATCTACAAGTGTTTCCTATCAATATGTCATTTACTTTTGCTAATATTCAGGCTGCAATATTCCGTTCTTAAGACTTCAGCTGAGAATTACCATGAAATGCTTCCTTGCAGCAAAACCGCGAAGATTTGTTAGAACAGTTTTCATCCAAATGCTAGCAGGTAACTAACTAGCTGAATCAGGAAAATCCAAAGTCAGATACTTAATGCTTTGTAACAAAGAAGCCACATTTACCATTTTTTTTTTAATCCAGAGGATGAATGGGCCTTCGATTTGCTGTATTGTGTAGCCTTCATGGTCATGGACAAGCAGTGGCTAGAAAGAAATGCCTCCTACATGGAATTCAACGTAAAAATTGTGTTTTTTTTTTCTTTTTCTACAGTCCAATTTGGTCTTCCATCCTCCCATGTTTCTTCCCTTAACATTTTTAATATCTCCATTATGATTTACAGGAAGTTCTCAGATCAACCAGAGTTCAGCTGGAGAAAGAACTTCTACTTGATGATGTGATGCGGATCGAAGACATGCCATCATACGGCCTCCTTTCCTAGCGATGGCAAGTTCTCAAGGCCCTGACATTAACTGTATAGGCTCTGTCCTCTTTTTAATAACCTTTTTCTTCTTGTTAGCCTTCAGGAGCTTAGTTGTAAAAATGTTTCAACTAGCTTTGAAATCTAATGAATGAGCTCCATTTCTAATTCTTCTTCTCTCAACACATTAGGAAAGCTATGTTGTATCTGCAAAGCCATGGCTCAAAGAAATTATCGACAGTTTGATGTTGTTCTTTCCACTGCACAAGATAACATCATATACTCAATTTTGTATCAAAAGTGTAAGATAAAGCATGTCATATAATACCCAGTTCCGGGGAAATAAAATTTATCTGAATGTGAAAAGAAAAGAAAGTTAGAGTTTTGAATGAAAAAAAAAAAAAATCTCCATATGAAAAAATTCATTTCTCTCAATGTAAATTTATTTTAATGTCGAAACTATCCCTAGTTTATTAGGAAGGCAAGTTTGGGATAATTTTTTTTACACTTTAAATACTCATAAAATATGCAGTAAATTCGGATGGTTCACGCCGTTATCCGCAAAGAATAATTTCCCCTTCAGGAGAGGAAGAGCTGTGGCGTAGAGGCGGCTAGGGAGAAATAGGTAAGTCTCCCATACAAATTATATCATGATACATTGATACGAAACTAAAAATTATTAAATCTATATTAAAATTAATAATATCAATAACTCCGTAATGTGAGTCTAAATAAGATTATTTGAAATTATAATTAAAACTGATTTGAGAGATCAAATGACATTTGATTTTTATGGGTTTGTAATCAAAATAAATGTATTAATGAAATTAACTTCTTAGACCTAATATCACCTAATTCTAATAATATTAAGAGAATGCTTATAAATAAAATAAAATTAAAAATAAAAAACAAAAACAAAAAAGAAAAAAAGAAAAGGCTTATTATCCGAATGTGGCATAAAAAATGGAGATCCACTAGGGTTCTCTGCCCTAGTCGTCCTCCGCGTCTCCATTTATGTGATTTGTGCTTCATCTACACGTAAGTTTTTCTATCTTCCAAGGACCTTGATTGTTTGGGTGGGTCATCGAGTTCTCTGCCTTTTAAAGATGATTTGTCTGTACTTTCTTCTTCTTCTTCAAACTTCTCTGATCTTAAAATAACTTTTCATCGTGGTATGCCTTCCCTTGGATTTCGGAAGATGAAATTCGTTCACTAGTTGTCCCATTCAAGTTCGCTTTAGTGGGCAAGTCCCTAGTTGGAGGCCCTCTATTGATGTCGTTGGAACTTCTTCTTCAACCTCAAGCTTTTGGGTGATTTCTCAATTACTTAACTTAACTTGAAGCATGTATTAATTAAGTTTGTAAATTATTTTGATTATTGTAGAGTGTTCTCTCGTCATTTCTATTTGTGAGCAATTGTTTCATGAAAGTTTTCAAATGGACTCCTCTTTTTTATATTTAGGTGGAATCCCCTATCATCCCAGTTTGGGTTTTCTTTTTCTTCCCAACTCTTAGATCTCACCAATCACCTCTTCTGCCCCCCCGGTATCCTTCACAGTCTTGGTTCCATGTTTGGCCTACCATTTAAAACTGATAATGCCACATCGTGCAGTTTTAGACCCTTTGTCACTCTTGTTCTAGTTGAGCTTGATGTCACCAAACCCTTACCCTAATAGAGTCTGAGTTGGTCTTGAAAATTTCAGTTACATTCAGTCTATTGTGTTGGAGGATTTTCGTCTTGTTGTTCTTAATGCAAATCACTGGGCCATTCGATTAAGGAATGTCAGATTTTACAGCCTCATCTTGATAAATTACATGTTGTTAAACCTATTTCTACTAATGCGGGTGAGACAATTACTAAGGAGGGTCTTGGCAATATTGATTTAACATTACAAGAAAATGGGAAAATTTGGAAACTGGTCCTTTATATCCTTCATTATGTCTTATATGTGAGTCAGGGCAATCAAATGCAAGGTTGTGAAAACCGGACCGGACAACGAACCAGAAGAATGAGAGGTTCATGGTTCGACCGGTCGAACCGGGGTCGAACCGGATGACGTAATAAATAATAATATAATTAAAAGTAATAAAATTAACATAATAATAATGATAATTTATTCTTAAAAATTTTATAATTCTAAGAGTTTTTAGACTAAAAAATAAACAAAATTCATACATATATAATATATTACATAATTTTAAAATTAAATATAAATAATTATTATATTTATGTTATATATTTAAATATAAATAATTACTAATTTTAAATTTAAATATAAACATATTCAATCTGCGATTTTAATTTATATTTTATAAAAATTTAGTTTATATATAAATATATAAATTTAATATAAATAATTATTTTATGTTATATATTTAAGCATAATTTACATATATAAATTATATATAAATTTTACATTATAAAACTATATTTATAATGTCATACAATATTATTTTTTAAGATTTTTTATTTTTCTATCATTTAATTTCGCATTTAGAAAAAGTTTTAGAACTTTAAAAATTATAAATAATTATTTTTATTTAAATAATTATAAATATATAATTAATAATAAATTTAAGAAGTTTAGAAATTATTATGATGATTTTTTATTTGAATATTCTACAAAAAAACACCTTCGAAGAACATATCTCAATTCAAAAAGGTCACATACACACTATTGTTGAATGTTGGAGCAAAAAACAATAGTTGTTTAGGCCCACATCACTTAGGAGTTTTAGTTGTTGTTTATATACATTTCTTTGTACCCATGAGTTAAAGCTCTCATGGTATTATGCATCATGTAAGCTAGATTATTATTATTTAATTTAATATATAATATAATAAATTTAGGAATCATTTTAATTAAATAAAATATATGAATTTAAATTAATTAATTATTATTTAAACAATTTATATAAAAAAATATTTAAATATATATTTAGTTGAACCGGCCGGTTCTTAAGAAACGGACCGGTTCAACCGGTGGTTCAAACCGGTTTTGACCGGTGTTGACCTCATTTTTGTATGAGTTCACTAGGGACCCATCCAAACTCCAGAATCAATCCTGACCCTATATCATCAATCTAGACTCTAGACCCTAGACCTATCCGACCTAGGATCCTTCACAATCAATCTAGAACCTAGGATTCTCCTAGAATACAGACCTAGGATCTACTCTAGTATCCTAGGACTTCTAGACTCCAGACTCTGATTTTATTAGACTCTAGGATATTCTTAGATCCTACAACCCTTCTAAGTCTAGCTCCTAACATAATCTTCTAGATTCTAGGACAAAATTAAATTCGAACCAATTCAAACTCCTGATCAACCTTGACTTCAAATCAACCTAGATTTCAAACCTAGCCAATCATGTCTAGACTCCTAGGCAACTCAATCCCTGATCTAGACTTTGAACCATTCTTCTATCAAACCTTAATTTGGTCTAATCACTTATGATTCTCTCAATAGTCATAAATGATTTAGGCACCCAAGTCAATCAATCAACTCAAATCCAGATCAAATCAAAAATTCAAATTCAAATCCTAAGTCCAAAGGCCAAGTCTCAAAAGCTTTTCTTATGAATTTTCAAACACTTTCAAAACCTAGCCTAATGACCTCCGATTTAGAGTCTGTCAGTTGCGTACTGATGGGACATGTCTCTGGAGGCAACCCTCCAAATTTGAGCCCATTCTGAGGTCTCTAACTCAGAAACTTAATCAAAATCCATAGGCTGTAAAACCTTTAAATATTTACAGCCTATGCCACTGGACTTGTCACTTTGAAGATTTTGCCTTAGACCTTCACCAGAGCCTCTGGTCACTTCCAGCCTTTAATCTTGATATGTTAATCAATAAACTGTATTTTTCTGGACCCACTTGACCCCTATTGCAGGGTACAAATGACCAAAAATACCCCTATGGGCGTCAAATAGGATTTTAAACCAAATGAACTCCAAATTGAATGAAAACACTTCCAGCAAATTTCAATGTCATTTAAACCTAATGAACCCTTTCCCAACCTTGGTCAACTTGGTTGACAAGTCAACAGTTTGACCCAAAAGGCCCTTAAGGATCCAAACAGGTGTTTTGACCCAAATGACCTCTCCAGGCATGTAACCACTTCCATTGGTCTTGAATGTCACTTGAAACTGTTGAACCTGATATCCAGACCCTGACCCACCCGGTTGACCAAACCCAACCAATTTTGACTTAATGGCCATCAAGGCCTAATAAGTCTATTTGATCCAAAATGGCCTATTTAAACCTTGAAATCACCCCAGACTCCAAATATTATTTCAATCCTGTCCAGCCTAACCATACTTTGGGTCCACCTAGTTGACCCAGTCAACCCAGGTTGACCAAAATAACCCTTAAGCCATCCATTTTAAATTAATTCCAAATGCATATAAATCTTGGCAAATTCTATCCAAGATATTTTAATTAATCCCTCAAGTGGCCCTAGCTGCCACCTCACCCTGGGTTGACCAGTTGACTGGTCACATAGTCAACAAATCCCTTTAAGAGGCTTAAGTGCCCAAATGCTTGACTCAAGCTAGCCACTCCCCTAATTCATCCAGCAATTTTATTTAATTCCAAAAGGTCCCCTCATTGCCACATCAGCAGGCCAAGTGGCATATGGACCAGTCAAACTGTCAAACCAAGGGTCTTGAGTGGTCAAAGTTAATTAAAACCATTTAATAACTAATCCTTTGATCCTTAAACCATTCCAGCACTTTAATTAAGTCTGGAACATTCTCAAGGTCTTCTCAGCCCTTGGATTGAAAATCAAGTGCTTGAATTAAATCCTTGGTTCATGTGAACAAAAGCCCTATCTCCACTAGGATGTCCTCTCCATGTCCTTGGCTTCTGCTCCCACCAACTCCCTGGACAGATGTCGTTCATCTGGAAGCTCATCCAGTAGATCCCAGCCCTCCATTCAATCTGGAAGGGATTGAATAGGGCAAAAAGGCTCAAATGAGCCTCATTCCAACCCTAGCCTTCTCTCACCTTTCTAGAGCTCCTCCAGCTTGAATCTCTGTTCCATTGAGCTCCTAAGACATCTTCCCAACATATCCCCACTCAAATCCGGCGGTCAAAACGGTGGCCGACGATCTTCCGGCGAGCTCAATACCAACCATCCAAGGCTCATTCAGGCTGATCCGTGGAGCGTCGGAGCGTGGGTTCAACTAGGAACTTAATCGTGGACAGTCTACAAGCTCAACCATCCCTTTAACGGTTCAA